AAGATAAAGATAAAGCGTTCAGCTGTAGCACCCTTCCGGTGCCTAGCTGCCATGCCACCCGAAGGAAGCACGAGGGCTGGGATACTGCCAGGTTGCCCAAGCCTAGACAGGGGAAGTCGAGTGGCGGAGGTCGGATTCGAACCGCGGACCTTCAGGTTAGTAATCCGCGCTCTAACCACTTCGGCCATCTACTGTCAACTGGTGTCAGCGACGGCACCACACCAAAACGGGTGATTAGAAGAAAGTCCCTATCGATTAACCATATGTCGAGGCATTTCGGACATCACATGGTTGTGCATAGATCAATGTCAGTCGGACAGTGGTGCCATGAGACGTCAAATACACATGTGGGCAACCACTAGCAAGTGGCTGAGATTGTTGTGTGCATCCAGACACCGGAATAGTTAGCACTGTTCTTCGTTGCCATGAGTTCACAGAAGAGACGAATAACGGAATACGACAAATCAGCGTTTGGTTCTTCTCAAATCAAGAGCTGGCTTTTGTCTCGCATGGCTGAAGGTGCTCTGCTCGCCAGCTTGTGGTCTTGAGCTCCACTCGACTAAGAACCCGTAGTCTACATCTGCACACTGAATACACAGGGGGGCAAATATCTGTGACTACGAAACTAAATTCGTGGCCACCCTGGAGCAGGAAAGCGTAAACTCAAAGTGTCAGTCAGGAGAAAAATAGCGCGGTAAGTTGCAAAAGCTTTGCGGCAGAATGGGCGGAAAGTATCATCGAAGTCTCGCTGGACTAGACCATGAGGTGGTACCTGTTTTTCACTTGCTGCGGGTTAAGATAACAAGGTCGTAAAATCTGGAATTGCTAGCTGCTAACCAAAAATCACTCGATTCCATCGTAAAAAAGAAGACTGTTCCTATTGAGCCTAACTTGACATCACGATAACTCATCCACTCATTCGCTTACTCCACCTATGTGTTGGCTCATCTCCAACTGTTTCGCTCTGTCAAGGACTGCGAACTAATCACTCGCCCTACCACAAAGGTAGCCCCGTCCGCCACTGGTGTACCGACATGCGCGGGCGCTCAGTATTCGCACAATGGAATTAAAATTTCAAAAGATATGACGTGTCCCTGATGTATTTAAGCAATCGAGCAATTAAGTTGGGAGTACCAGTCGAAACTTTTAAGCCCTATTTAGGCATCCCGGGGTCTCAGCGATGCTGGGAAATTGTCCCACAGGACTTTTCGGTTACAGCATGGTTGCTTCAGAGAACGATGAAATTTGGTGACATGCAAAAATATGTAAGTATATTGAGACGGTTTTCGGTTTGAGTACATTTGCAACAAAATGTAACATTTTGGCGTGGAAACTTTTACTGCTCTTGTAAAGGTTTTGCAGCTGAGAGCATTGGGCGGATACTGGGCACCGATGCGCGTGTCACTATCGCGCTCACTCAAATGCGTCTGGGGCTGGGCTTGCCGTGACTTGTCTGTTGGGTCGTATCGCCATTGGGAATTACGAGACTGCCCCCAAGAAAGACGACCGCGACCCGCACAACCGAGGCGACAATTCACTCGCTATTACCTGGTTCGCACTGGCAAGGCGGCAACAGACTTGCGTGCATGTTGACGCCACGAACGTGGATAACAGGTCTGTTGTGTAGTTTTGCCTACTTCCGTTTGAATGATACCGTAAACTTTCGTACCCATTTTTTCAATTTGATATTCAGGATCGTCAAACGTGCACGTGGTTCATAGTGCTGTACCGGGAATCCCAACAGGTCCCATAATTTCGACGATAGGTGCGCCAAGTTAGATACAAACGGCAATTCGTCATCCAGTTGTCACTTCGCGAAGCAACGGAACATTACTGATACTTTGGAGCACGATTATTCGTCTGTTGATGAGCCTTCAAGATGTATGTCTCAACTAGTCAAATTAAGACGTTAGTTCTGATTCGACCTCAACGTTTCCGGTTTGCCTGTTGTCATTTAGGTGAAACCAAGTCAACGGAGGCTTGGTGAAGCGGACCGATTGGAAGCCTAGAGAGCAGTGACAGCCGAATAAATACAGTCGTGTGAAAGACGGCCAAAACTCCGAGTGATTTAAACTGAAGTTCACTATAATAGTTAAGATAAAGTGGTTGATTACTGAGAAAAAATGCCATAATAAAGCCCTACGTCCTCCCACTGCCTTGTGGGTCAGACTTTTGAGTCGAGGGCTCAAGGTGGGTTACCTCAACCAAACCCCCTTCCTCGGCCTGGGCACC